TCACAACAATTTAAAAATTGTTCAAGAGCCCTAACTATGTTTTTACAAACAAGTGACATCACTGTTATCTAAATAATGTTCTTTAAATGAAACTACAATAGTTTTATCCTCATTTTCACTTTCATTTCAGGACCACATGTATGTACTAAAAGAGTCTCATCTGGCTTGGGAGCTGCAGTTTGCCGACACCTGTTCAAGGCCAAGTGAAGGGGCTAGAATTCCATTCCAGGTACTGGCAGGTTTTCAAACCAGGGGAGTTAGTACCGGTTTTGTGTTTTAGACATGCCATGTTCTGTTCTATACTTATGCAGGGATACAAACTACGGAAGCTTTCAAACTGTTCTAGTAAAAAGATGGCAAGGGATATTAAACTGATATTAAAATATTCTTAAAAGCATACAACATTAAAGGAGATTATAGTAGAAAAGAGGCGGGGAAAGGAGAGTCAAGAGAAATAAAACGCATTAGAGAGAGGTATATATTTTCTGGAATAGTTACTGAAAAGTAGAAAAAAGAAGGGAGGGGGAAAAAGAGGAGCTGATACCAAGGGCTCAAATAGAAAGTGAATGTTTAGAAAATGATGATGGCAACAAATGTACAAATATGCTTGATACAACTGATGGATGGAATGTTATAAGAGCTGTAAGAGCCCCCGATAAAATGATTTTTAAAAATAAATAAACATTTTTTAAAAAAGAAGAAAACAATGGATCAATCCAGTTTGGTGAGTTCCTATAAGACAGTCTATGTAGCACGGCTCAATAAATACGCATGAACCCAACAGAGCTCACCATCACATGATGCTTCCTGCTCTGTCCCCTGCCACTTTGGGCACGTGAAGAGCCATCGCATCCCACAAGATGACTCACGTTTAAATGCTTTTTCTGGTAGCAACCATATGCAGGTCATAGTGTACAACCCAAGTATAATAGCTATTAGGCTAATTTTCTAACATTTATTTTTAGTAGCCGGTGAAATCAATCAACATGACAGAAGAGAAGAAAATTACTAATAGTTAAAAAAAAGAAAGAAAGAATACTATGAAGCTAAATTGGAAGTACTTTTGCCTTGCACTCCAAATTCCATATTTGAAAATCAAGTGTAGACACATCTTAGATATAGAATATGACTTAGGGGAAGCAATATTTTTTTCAAGTCTGGAACAAAATGACTACCAGACTGCATTAGCAAGGTGAAGCTTTAGTGAAACATCAAACTTTTATTGACGTAAAGGAGCTTAACATAAAAAATGTTGCCTCGGTTTTCCAAAAAGTACAAAAAAATAGAGAAAAGAAGAATAAAAGCAGACTTTAAATTGGATACAAAGAGACAAGTAATCAAACGTAGTCATCTCCCAAACTTAAAAAAATAAAACTGTACTATCATCTTATTTCTTGCTGCATTAAGTTAAAAGGCACCCTGCTGCCTGTCTGGATAGGACAGGCTGGATGAACAATCTGGAGGAGAAAACAACAGGACTTACAGTTCCAGGGGGAACATAGGAGAGGGGGAGGTGGGGGGAAGGGAAGAGGTGTTAA